ACGGAAGACTATGAAGGAGAGTTGCGCGGGTGCGCGAGGTAGACACAGACCGAGGCGCGCCAAGCCCTCTCGGTGCCAAGACTTCCGTGCTGAGTTAGCAGCATAGGCACGTGCTAGTTACGTGGTAGGCCTGCTCTATGTCACGTGTGTGCGGCACAGGCGGAGAACTGTGACATCTCCCCTCTTCAAACCGGCGCAAGGTCCCGCGAAGCGTTAAGTTGTCCAAATTGGCGAGGTTCTCGAGTTGTTGGAGTATTGGCAACCTTGTGTCGATACTCCGTTGGCTATAGCGCGTATTCCTAATTTCTGCTGGAGCCGCTATCCTGGGGTTTCGTCTCCTATTAAGAGTTGTTATTAACTAAGGAGTAATTCTATCGATTGTCGCTAGGAGTTTTATAGGTTTTACCTTTACGGGGTGGCTGTTAACCTAGGCCGGTAGAGTAACTTCTAAGTCTTAGTTAGTGCGGGTTCCTGGAAGGCCGATCCGTAAGGTAGCTGTATACTTAACTGTCGATAGAGCGATGTTAATTATCTCGCTGGCTTTCTAACAACTTTCTGGTTAGTTTTCTCGTTCTTTGTGGACGGCGGGATGTCGTTTCGGCTTCTACGTATCGTTTCTTTAATTCTCTTACTAGGTCGTAACCCTCTAGTGGACCTAGTTTGCCTGGGTACTAGTCGTGGAATATAATAACTAACTCCTTATATCCTGGTAGTATGTCTTTCTATGGTCTCTAATCCTGAATAGACCCCTTCTACTTTACTAGGTACAGTAGTTTATCTCTTTTCTACTTCGAATTCTAGATTTCCTCTACTTCGTATTCCTAATATTCGCTATTCTCGCGTATAATTAATTTAGGTCTCGGTGGTGCCTGTACTTGTCCTAGTAGAGGATTAGTAGCCACGGGTCTTAGTAGCGACGTATGGAAGACGTTATGAATTTGGGCGCCTTCTGGAAGCTGTAATCGATACGCCCTTAGATTTACTACCTTGGTAATCTTAAATGGGCCTTTATTCTTGAAGTCTAACTTCTTGCTAGGTCTCTCGGTACGAATATTCTTCGTATTCAACTATACTAAGTCGCCTTCTTTGTAGGCTGGTGCGGGCGCTCGTTTATCTTATCCTTCGTACCGAGCCTGAGTAAGAGCTATCTGGGCTTTTGCTTCTTCGTAAATCCTTATTATTCGGTCGGTAAATGTATCGGCTCTTCGTATATCCCTGATTGTATCGGACGTTATAGGTTAAACTTGATCCGGCGGTTCCACTCCGAATCTCGAGTAGTAGCTATAGTTGGTAAAGAACGGCGATATCTTTGTCGTATTAGATACGTGCGTGTTTACGGCGAATTCTGTAATAGGAAGCTAATCTACCTAGTCGTCCTATAGGTAGTTGTAATACGCTCGTAAATACTGTTCTATGAACTGGTTCGAATTCTTAGATTAGCTATCCGTTTCTGGATAATAAGCACTCGATATTCGACGAGCTATTCTAAGTCTACTGCAAAGTCGTTACTATAATTTCGATGTGAACTATATACCTCTGTCTAAAGTGATAAATTCTAGTAGGCTATGCCTACTGAATATATATGCTAGGAATAGTTGGGTAGTGTAAGTAGTATCTATCTTATCGTAAGGGATATGGTAGCGCCACTTCGTGAGTTGATCGGTTACTACCATTATATTCGAATAAGTGGCGTTATCTCGTAGGTATAAGGGTAGGTTAATAACGAAATCTACTACTACTTCTCGCTAAGGTCTTTCCGGTACTGGGAGTTGTATTAGGCTACTAGGTCGAGCGTCTCGGAATAGTTTTGATCGTCGATAGAGGTGGTAATTTCGTATAAAACGCTTAATTTGTTTGTCGGAATTGGGCTAATAGTAGAATTGATTTAGTATCTCGTACGTTCGTGCTTTTCTCGGGTGTCCTGCTGGCGGAGACTTATAGAATACTTTAATAATAGTGGTTCGTAATTCTTTATCGTCGGGGATCTATAAACGGTTCTTGTAATAGACGAGTTTATCTCTCTCTTCGTAATTAGATAATGAAATATGCCGCTCTAGAAAATCCGGTAGTAGCTTTGGCAGTTGTTATCTTAGAGCGTCTAGTATCTATTTTAGTATAATATCCTCGTGATATGCGGCTTCGATAAGTTCTATAATAGGCTTCTCCTCTTCTATGGTTACGTCGGTAGCTAAAGCACTTGCTTTTAATAGGTATTGAGAGGGTAATACTCCTTTAGCTAGGTTCGAGGGTTTTAGTAAGGTCTAGTATTAGTATTTGATTCTAACGTTATCTTCTTCTCTAAGCCTGTTACCGGGGCGTCTAGTTAGGCTATCTAGTTTTGTATCTTATTTACCCGGGCGGTATTGGATCTCGAAATGGAATTCGAAGAGAAACTCGCTCTAGCGAGCCTAGCGTCGATTTAACTGTTTAGTCGATATAAAGTATTCTAAGGATCGGTGATTAGAGAGTACTTTAATTGGTCGATCCGGGTCCGTACTAGCTAGTTCGGGTCTCTATTCCTCGAAGGCTCGTACTACGGCTAATAATTCTTTGTTATAAATTTCGTAATTGTACTCGGTAGGACTTATCTTCTTTAAGAAGAAGGTAACGGAACGTAGTCGGCTATTAGTATCCTTTTGCGATAGGATACCTACTACTACGAGATCCGACGTATTAACTTCTACCTAAGTATTAGCTTTCGGGTCGAAATGTTGTAGTACGGGTGCGGACGCGAAGTACGCTTTTAGCTTTTTAAACGCAGCTTGGTAATCCTCTATCTATTGGAAGGGTTTGTCTCTATCTTTAGTAAGTTCGGTAAGCGGATATGCAGTCCTGCTAAAGCCCTGTATGAATATTCGGTAGAAATTCGTAAACTCTAGGAACGATAAGATATCCTTAACTGATCGGGGCGGTTGCTAGGCTTGTATGGTCTTAACCTTAGAAGGGTCTATTCGTAGGCCTTCTGTTGATATAATTATTTCTAGATACTTGACTTCCTAAGCGTGAAACTGTGTCTTATGAATATCGATATAGAGACCTACTTTGCGTAACCTTCTAAGGACCTCTTTAATATATCTTCGATACTCTGTAAGGTTATCGCTAAATACTAGGATATTATTAAGATAGGTAGTATAGTAGTTATCTAAGATACCCTGTAGTGCGCTATTAATGTAGTTCTGGAACGAGGATGGAGTATTATAGAGGCTAAAGGGTATTATTAGATATTCGAACTACCTAAACCTAGTGACGAAGGCGGTCTTCTACTTATCCTCTTTTGCTATACGTAGTCGATTAAACGCTACGATTATATTAAACTTCGTATAGTATTTAGCTTTGTATAATCGATCTAGAGTTTCTCGAATTCGTGGAATAGGGTAACGATTTTTGATAGTAATAGCGTTAAGTGCCCGGTAGTCTATATAGAAGCGTAGTCCTCCGCCGGGTTTCTTAACTAGGATGATAGGCGAAGTAACTGGAGACGTAGAAGGCCGGATAAATTCTTTGGCGAGTATCTCGTCGAGATATTTCTTTGCTACGGTAAGTTCTTGCTGTATTATTCCGTAGGTCTTCTT